GATATCACGGACTTTTGTCTCATTTTCCCCTTGGGGAAGTCCAGTCTAAAAAAAAATGACCATCTGATTCAAAAATAATCTGATATTTTGTGTATGACTATACCAGTGTGAGAGCATGCGCAACCTTTACAGAGGTAAGTAACTTACAGATGATTTTGATTTTTTTTAAACTGCCACGTTTGAGATGTAAATCTGATAAATACCGGTATTACCATTTGACATGTATTTTTACATTAGGCACACAATTGTCAGAAATATATTACGAGCAAGACAATCCATCAAAAAATCCTCGAAAATGTTGAGAAGTTAAGTATGCTCATCACAAAAATGTAGGTACCGTATGCATCAATGCCAGATACATGTGACCTCTACAAAATTTTATAGAGTAAATACACACTTAACTCTAATTGAGAGAAGACAAGAATGATTAAATCTTGTTTTTGTTAATACAGATAAGCTACAGTTTACTGTAAGAATATTTTAGTGAACTTGTGTGCCCTAATTTATATGAAACCGATCTTAACAGTTAATTTTAGCTCTGGTGTTCATTCTAAATGTGACAACTAAAATAAAATAAGGTTGACCACTGACACCTTTATTGAAGATTCCGATAACCCTTTCTACTCTGCGCAATAAAAACATACTAACATGACAGGATCAGCTGGTTTATTACTGGGGTTATGTCCCCCATGGATACAGGACGACTAACCTTTACGTCTCCCGAAGGGCCCGCAGAATGAAGTGTTTTTCCCGATGATGCTGTCATCGATGTACTTAATCAACTTCGCTGTGTCTTCACTTCTCTTTGAATTGCTTTGACGAGCCTTGGAACCCCTTGAGGAATACTCCTCAGGCAGAGAATAAAACTTCCGATCTCCATACGACTTGTTTGCAAGCATGGTTTAAATCACTTCCAAAGCATTGGGCACATCACAGTGGGAAAATTAACAGTAGGTATCACTGCCGTCACTAAATGTCCTCAGATTTGAACTGGCAACGTAAGTTCACGCGAAAACCACTGATACAGAACACACAGGACACAGTGTAAAAGAGTTTCAACGTGTTGGGTGCGATGTCAGCAGAGCCACACAGCGCTTCTTCTTGTGCTTTTCGCGGCTACACTTCATACAACCGTCGCAGTGTGTATACACAGGCCGACTGGCTTGTTTTCGAATCCCAATGTAGTTGTGAAAGGCAAGGGGTGAGGGGTGGGTGGCGTGAAAGGGAAAAGTGGGGATGGGAAAGGATGCAGCAGTGGCGCCATCTCTCATGAAACAACGAAAGATCGACGGCGGGATGTTCAAAAGTAGACAACAGACTAGAAAGAACGCCGAAAAGTAGTACTGTTTAGGTACTTGCCACCGAGCCGAAAGGTTAGCTTGATTTGATAATTGACATAAAATGATCACTCGCAATGGTAGTACAAATGAAACTGCAAGAAGTCTTTAGCTTAAGTTTCAGTCACTTTAGAAATAATTACTCAGGTATCTCAAAAGCATTCTTCAATAGAAACTGCCAGAAAAAGATAATGAGATATTTAAACCTCCTAAACGTTGTAAATAAATTAAAAATCCTTACTTTTATTTTGAAGCAAGCTGCTGCACATTCGAAATTCCCACAACTCTGTTCATTTCCTGTCCAGTGTTTCGCTCTCTTTTCTTGAAGAAATAAATTTCCTTTAAAGTGTGTTACATATAATATTACAGTGACAATTTGAATTGATTTAAATAAAAACGCCTCATTTCACACTTTAAAATGGTTATCGTTTACAAAATCAACTAATGTGTCGAGCATCATCTCAGCCTAGGGCTTCAAATCTCAAAGCCAGATGTTCTTAAACTTCCGGTAAAGTGGGAATCCACGCGGCTCTTCCGTCTTTTAGTTTGTGTTGGCCGCAGCGGCTAGGCGTGCAAGGGGCATTTATCTGTGTAAATCGTACACATAAATTAATCAAAATGGTCCAGAAGAAGGTAAGTTTTGATCCTTTTTTATTTAGGAAAATTTTGTAAGCTTGTATTGCCGATATTTTTTCGTTATTTGCGTGTACTTTAATATCGGGTTCAAGGGATCCACGTTGATGCCTATCTGCTTAGCCTACCGTGTATTTGTCCAAAGTCCTCTAAACACGCCGTCTATTTTGCAATGTTTGGTACCTGAAAGTCCGAGTAGGTAGTATGTTACTTTTGTTCGTCCTCGCTAATGTTTAAAATTGCCAATTGCATTGAAGTTACATACTTCGGTATGTTGCTTTCTTAACCTTACGTGGGTGATACTTAACCTCCGACTGCTGACCGGTTTAGTCTCTTTTCGTATTACGGTTCTTGTTAGGAACTGTAATGTTACTTCTGGCACTTCTGTGCGTCCTGGTTTAATACCATTTAAAACACCCGAGTTCCCTGCGTGACTTCGCTCCGTGTGTTTGGAATCCTGTCTTTGAGTGTTGTGTTTTGTGTTTTTCTTACACTCCCGTCCATGTTGCAGCCCAAGAAGAAGATCGGTAAGAAGGTTGCCGCCGCTCCTCTGGCTGTTAAGAAAACAGAGGTCAAGAAAGTTGTTAACCCTCTGTTTGAGAAGAGGCCCAAGAACTTCGGCATTGGTGAGTACTGTTTGGTGTATGACAACCTAACCTCCCTGGACGGCACCTACATGATGGATAGCAGTACGTCGACCATTTGCATCCTAACGCGCATCTTCATTTTTAGGTCAGGATATCCAGCCTACCCGCGATTTGAGCCGTTTCGTGAAATGGCCGAAGTACATCCGTATCCAGCGTCAGAAGGCTGTTCTTCAGAAGCGTCTGAAGGTCCCTCCCCCAATAAACCAGTTCTCTCAGACCCTTGACAAGCAAACAGGTAAATTATTATCACTCTGTACTTCAAGGGTTTTACTGCGTCAATGTTTTCTAATATGATTTTCTGTCTTGCTGTAGCTGTTCAACTGTTCAAGCTCTTGGACAAGTACAGACCTGAAACTCCTGAGGCTAAGAAGGCTCGTCTCCGTGCTCGTGCCGAAAAGAAGGCTGCCACCAAGCAGGATGCCCCCACCAAGAGGCCAAACACAGTCCGTGCTGGTGTCAACACTGTTGTCAAGCTAGTTGAACAAAAGAAGGCTCAGCTTGTTGTCATCGCTCATGATGTTGAGCCCCTTGAAGTTGTCCTGTTCCTGCCCGCCCTTTGCCGCAAGATGGGTGTTCCATACTGCATTGTCAAGGGCAAGGCTCGTCTGGGTGCCCTTGTCAGGCGCAAGACCTGCACATCCCTCGCCCTCACTCAGGTAATTGTGTTGTCAATGTCATTTTAGAATTGCTATTTCCTTGTCATTAAATATTGGCTCTTATGGTTTTCTTTTTTCTAACATTTCATTTGTTTTTTTTCAGGTTGACTCTGGTGACAGATCACAGTTCGTGAAGTTGGTGGAGTCCATCAAAACTAACTTCAATGACCGTGCTGATGAGATCAGAAGACACTGGGGCGGTGGGGCCCTTGGCTCAAAGTCTGCAGCTAGGATTGCAAAATTGGAGAAGGCCAAAGCTCGTGAATTAGCCCAGAAACAAGGCTAATTTTTACAATAAAATTATCTTTGTTCAATCTCTGCTCTTTATTCTCCCAAGTTTCATTGACAGTTCTTTAGACAGCCTTCACTAAATCAGTTGCTTTGAGGAATCATTCAAATTTCTTTGATGCACCTCTAAGTATATGCCTTTATTCTGAGGAAACCTTCTCATGAATTTTTTTGCTGTACATGCATTCCCTTAATGGTGTGATGTATTTAAGGCAGACTTTGAATTGGTACTTGTTAATGTCATGCTATAGCCCATTTTGCCTGGCAAAATCAGGTGTTTCGCCATGGCTTAGTTGAGTTGGATGATTCTAATTTTTTGATTTGGGTGTCATAACATTCAGTGATTAATATTCCAATTCAAATGTAGAATGTCAATTTCAAAACAAATTTAAATAATCTTAATTTAAAAAGAAAATAATATTTAATAAAATGCAGGCAGCTTGCACAATACAGGGTACAATATTCAGAACACAAGTTGGTATAAAGATTGCGCCGCCATCAGTGTATTCCAATATCCAAGTCAGACCAGCCTGCATCTGGGTCACTCTCATCCACCTCATTCTGAAATTTCAAACTAAGTATTGATCAGTAAATTCTCAGATCCCCAATAGTTTCACTGGGATGATTTTGTTCAACAAACCTCATTATCAGAGTCTGCAACATCAACACCAGCATCATAAGTGGTGTCTGTATTCTCTTCCTCCCCGACAGGCATATAATACGATGAATCCAATTTCCCAGCTGAGCTATCAATGCGGTGCATACCCTCAAGTGCTCTTCTATTGTTGGGATCCAAGCTAATACAGAAGATAAGGGATACCTTAAGTGTGCTTCTTAAAACAAGACACCCATTAAGTGACTGATTGATGAAGACTTACTTTAGGGCAATGGCATAATGATCCAAAGCTTTCTCTTCTTCATGAACTCGAGCAAGCAAATCACCAAGCATCTGATGGAGCTTGCAAGTTGGTCTAAGTTCCACTTGTTTCTCTAAGAGGGCTATAGCTAGTTCTAGTGTCATTTCCTGCAACAAGGGATGCCATGAGCTTTTAATTTTAACAGATGACAAAGTATACTAACAAACCAAAACTTTTAAAGAAACCTACCTGTTCATAGAGTTCAGCTAATAAATACACAGCAGGGAGGAAAAACTGGTCCATCTGCAAGGCCTTTTCAAGGAGTGTTTTTGCTTTTGAAACATTAACGGAATCCTTCATAAGAACAGATGCATATAACTGAAAGTAAAAATTCAACTAATTACTTCCATCAATAGAACAAAAATTGACCAAAACTCAAACTAAAAACATACCGTAAGTGACCGTGGAGTTTGTCCTAACTGCTTAACTGCTGTGCATGCAATAGTCAGTGCCTCTCTGAACCGGTGCATAGCAATATAGCAATCAACAAGACCCTTGTGAGGCTCATATCGATGGCAACAAATTTGTTGGGCTTCTCTAAAATGGGTAACTGCTTCAGGATGCTTCTTCAATTCAATAAGTATTTGTCCTTTCAGTAATAAGGCCTCTATATGCCGAGGAGCAATTAAATATGCCTGTAAAAGAAAGCATGACAATTTATTCTCTTTAGGTCAAAATGTACGGGAAGAGACCATTACAATTACGTACCTTCTGAGCAAAATATGCAGCTTTAGTATGCTTGCCAGCTGCAAAAAGACTATAAGCCAAAGCAATCCATGGTTCAGGACCATTGATGTCTGTAGCCATTTGCAGAGGGGCTACTAATCTTTGTAGCTCGCGCATCTGGCGTTCCTTCGAAAGAATGCAGCTAAGAATATCAAGCCCTCTCTGAAGAGGTTCCATTGCATGAGCCTAACAAAGGGAAGACAAATAACATGAAACAGAATCTATTAAATTTTGCTGTAAGCATAACTTTTAACTTAACTCTGAATAATGACGAAATGGTACTCACTCTTTGAAGGACTAAGGCCGCATTTGTATTATCACCATAATAATAATAACTTTCTCCGAGAGGCACAAGTATGTTTACATTATCACTAAGTGCTGTTCTTTCATCAAGCTGTCGGAAGGCTTGAATTGCTTGTGTATATTCTTGACTGTGCAAATGGGCATGAGCCTTGACCCAATTGTTCAACCTATTTCAAAACATTGAGAAAATGTGTAACTGATTTTCTATCATGATTAAGAAATAATGGAATGAGAATGGAAAGAACTTACCAGTCAACCTGACAGTTAAGAGAGGACATACCATCCAGCATAAGAGCATTGACTTCTATACCTTTCATTCCAAGCTGTAGCAAACCCTCGGCTGCTTCTAATGCTAAGGGACATTCCTAAACAGAGAATAAAAACATGCAAAAACAGCTGTAGTGCACCAAAACTAGAGTAGTAACACAAACTTACCCTTAAAACTTCTTTATATGCTCCTATAGCAGCTCGACAATTTCCTTGTTCATGAAACAATTTCCCTAAAGCCATATGAACTTTTGCTGTCCTTTGATTGGCTGGTATAGTTTTTAAAATATTCATAGCGGCAGGATGCTGCCGTTGTTGAACTAAACATAGGTGGAGCTGATATTTAATATCTGTACACAATAAGAAATGAAAATCAATATCCTTATTCCATAAAACATGCTCTCTAAAAAACAGCTTAAATCGTATTTCACTTTAGAGGCCAAAAATGGTGATGCTTGAGTTTGGAACAGTTTACTCACCAACATCACTCATACACTCTCGTTGGGCTTCAGACTGCGGAGAGGACTGGGACTGTGTCTTGTTATTTTGACCAGATGTTGCACCTGATTTTGATTTTAATACTGACTTTTTGATTTGCTGCAATTTCTTATAAACCTTCTCTGCCTTTTTAAACTGACCACTTTGGAAAAGTGATTCAGCATAGCAGGTATAAGATTGAAGTCTTGAAGGCAAAAGTGGTGAGTCTGATGCATGGTCATTAACAGTCAGAACAAGTCCTCCCTAAGAAAGAGGGGAAAGAGAGAACAAGCAAAAGTTGAGCAAGCTGATCACACTAAATATTTAGTGGCTCACAATGAATGCAAAATACTTGATGTGCAAATTCATTTAAAGAGAACAACTGTTTATTTACTTACAAGAGCAACAACATTTGAGTACAGCTGTTGGTCATACAACAGTTTTACATGGTCATATACGCACGCCATTGCACTCCTTTCCAGATATAAGAATAAGAGTAAAGTCCCTAAACTCTCTTATACTGAATTAAATACATAAATGCTAAATTGATCACACACAACTCTAACCTCCAGCTCGAACACTTTCTTGTCTGTCAAATTTCAAACTGCAGCCAGCATTCAACAAATAAATAATTTACATTAGAAATTTCGTAAATGAAGAGTTAAGCAAAACAAAACAACGAAATTTAAAATTATTGTATAAAATAGCTGGAGCGAAATATATCAATCGCTCATATTTGATTTCAACGTTTAAAGAGAAACCAGAAAAGTTAGTTGTTTTTAGTGCCGTTGTGTTTGTTTTCCCGTCTGTCAATTGTCACAGTAGCAGACAGCGTCTGCATTCTGCTTGTTTTCCAGCAGACAAAACAAGAAAATGTGTAAATGATTTAAAAAAACAAATTGTGTATAAGTGCCTCTCATCATTCCATGAGAAAATTGAAAAGAATATTATTACTCTAAAATATTATGGAAAGTGAGCGCCAAAACAGTAGCAGTAGTCGGAGTCGCCGGCAATGGCGCAAGGGGGGGCAATGGAACACAACAAAGCTCCTGCTCAGGATAGTTTTCCTTCTTGTGATAATCTACGTGTGGAAACTTTATCAAGCCTCGTGAGTTTGAGACGAGCTTGTTTTTCTATAATTTTATCTGAAACCAAACTGTGATCTCTACACACAGAAGATGATCAATGTGTGATGTACACTCTCAGTGCACACCTATTGTAAACAATCAATGCATCGATAACAAGTAAGTATCATAAATGGATTTGCATTCAGTTTCTTTCTTTCTTTCTTTTTTTTTGTGTATAGCTGCTTTTTATATTAGCCTCTTGTCTGATTCGCAGGTACATACTCCTTCGTCATCAGTCCAACATCTCTGACTTTGACCGTCATATGGCAAAAAATCGAGCAAAAAATAGTCTCTAGCTTAGCATAAGAAGTGCAATTTTATATCTCACGAAATTTTTGAAGTACCATGACACATGGTTTATGTATATTTGGTAGGTTTTTGAAAGGCTACTTTGACAGTAGTAAACATGAATGGTAATATCTGCTCAATAATGTACTACTCATAAGAAGCCCTTTACGCAATGGACTTGTTTTTCACACTCATATAACAATTAGACTGAGTCAGCAATAACGGTACCAAGACAAAAGTACCTAGAATACAGACTTTGCAGGCAACAAAAGCTCAAAGCAATACACTGCTACTATGTAAGTAATGCACACTGTTCTTCAATTCTTGTAATTTTTACTTTCAACAATAAATGACAGCAACCCTATAGTCAGTCTCTCAATCCCCAGGCCTTTGTCTCGAGCGTATCTCTGGTATATCCAGTGTTGCGGGATTGCATACGAGAGGGTTGCAGTGGACGAACGTAGCAGGCAATCCCGCAACACTGGAGCGCATTCAATGGTACACCTGGTACTACTTCACTATATACCATGATGGTGGTGGGAGGGGACGGGGGGCAGAGCGCACTCGGCGGGTACTCGCGCCAGCAGCACTACCAATGGGGCAGCGTGTTATGCCCATCGGGATTGAATACCAAGAGAGTCAGCGGCGCCCGTCGCAGCAGTGGTACGCCAGAGCCGCGGGCCGCTCCGCCACCGGCGCCAGGGGCCCCAGGGGAGAGCCCCCCTCCCACCCGAAGGGGGGCGTGCCTGCGACCAGGCCGGTGGATGGACAAGGCCAAAGGGCGGTTCTATTCGGGTCCTTAGGCACGGCCGGGGCGGGGCGGGGCCCGAAGGGACTACAGTCAATGCTCGTTGGGGCAGGTCGTGCCGGTGCCTGCCTTTGGCCCTCCTCTCTGCTGCTGCTGCTGCTGCTGCTGCTGCTCCGACACCCGCACGCTGCAATACAAGCGCATCTCGTGCCGCGTTTGTTACTGGTGCATCGCGTTTTATTTTCGGCGGCGTGAAACTACCCGCCGCCGTCGTCGTCCTGGCGGCCAGGCGGGCCGGGGACCATTAACGCGCGGGGCATTCCCTGCCATGGGCCGCCGGCCATATGCACGGGCCCTCGACTGCAGCAGCAGCATCAGCGTGCGGCAGAGCAGGCAGAGTGCGCCTCATGAGCGCGCCAGGCCGCGGCCGTGAGCGAGGCGCGAGTGGAGCAGTGTGTGGCGAGTGGCGATGCAAGGACCGACCGCAACGTGCTTCGAACGTCTCCTCCCCCCCTTCCCCCACTTCCTCCCC